ATAAAATATTTTATAAAGCTAGATAAGTTACCTTCTGTGTTTATTCATTTGAAAATAATTTCTTTATTGTAACAGTGACAGACATCTCCATTGCACTTAAAGAAATCTGTAAAATGGTATTTATGTTTATCAAATACAGTATATACAAAAACAAGATATTTGTTTAAAAATGCTAAAAAATTATATATTTTTCTCTATTGTGGCCCTAATCTTTTGTTTATGTGCCTTCCATCGGTGGGCAATAATAAAGTGTGTGATGGCTTTAGACTCACAGATGGTGAAATCTAACTTGTCATTTTCAAACAGCACAAATATAGGGCAATAACACAGTTAGTATTCAAAGAAGTTGTGATCAGAACAGTTTATTCAGTCCGTTTGTTGTTGATAAACATGTTAGGAGATTTAAGGTGGTGGTTCTCCATTCCGGTCCTCATGGCCCACTYTCCTGCATGTTTTAGTTGTTTCTTCTTTAATTTCTGCAGAAGCTTGACAATCTCTTATTCATTTAAATCAGGTGCGCCAAGGATGGTGGGCCAGGAGAACCGGAATGGAGAACCACTGATTTAAGGGATGACAGTGTTAGCATCGGTGACAGAGGAGTTCTGGTTAGAGTTCTTGTTAGGGACTGTTTGTGAGTGTGTGTGTGTGTGTGTGTGGGGGGGGGGGAGTTATTGATTCCTGGATGCTTGTGCATGCATCGGCGGTCTGCAGGTTCTCGGGTCTTACCGCTGGATAAAGAGAGGGAGAGGCTGAGCTGGAGTCTGGGTGCTGGAGACCATTAAAACAAAAAGCAGCTTGTTTACTCGTGGCTCCTACAGTTTCTAAAAACAGAACTCTGTTCTCAAGCTCCTCTCATGTGGAACCAACTTCCAGTTTCTGTCCGTGAGGCTGACACTCTGTCTACTTTTAGGARCAGGCTCAAGACTTCCCTTTAGGATYAATCCTATAGTTAGTGTTGGTTTCCTGAGCTATCCTTTAGTTCTGCTGCTKTAGGCTTAGACTGCTGGAGGACAAACTGAGCACCTTTCCTCAGCCTGCTGCTGTCTTCACTCACTCTACTCTTCATGTATGTATTTATAATTATTCCACTCATTAGAAACGACACCTGGATCAATCCTTCTCTGTCAGTCAGTCCAGGAATATTTTCAGTGACTCCTCCCTCGCCCTACTCCCTTCACATTACACTCACTGTGAAGCCCCCTCGCCGCTGTAAGGTCTAATTATAAACCCTCCGCTTTGAGACGGCCTRTCCTCGCACTACCGGAACAGGAAGCTATTGTCACCATGGTAGCAGCCCAAGCTCTGGCAGCGACTGAACGCTGGAGAACGAACGCTTAAGATCGTAGAAGACGCTTGTTTTAATAGACTCTAGAAAATATTTAATTAGGCCTACATTTTAGAGAGTTTTCAGATTTGAATTTATTTGTAACAAATACAGTGCAATAACTTGTCAAAACAACTGCATTTCTAACATTTTTTAAAGAATTTCTTTACTTTTGCTTTATTTTTTATTTTTCCTTTTCTTCTTTTTCTTAAATATGGTCCAGGATTCTGTGACTTTGATAAAGTTTAAATTGAACAGAACATGAGTTATATAGCCTATGTGACATTATATTTGTTGGTGAGGTGTTTACTTGTGTGCAAAGCATATGTGGAGCTTTTACATGTCCTGTTCTCCATGTCGAACACCGTTTGGTGTTGCACGAGTCAGCGTAAGGTCCTCACTCGCTGTGGAGGGCTTTATAAACRACTCACACTCGTACACAATTAGTTTCAGATGAGACTTAAGATGGCCAACCCTCGGCYGGCACGGGCAAACGGAGTYAGGAGTGAGTAGGGGAAGGGTGTAGCCACTGAGTGGGAAAGGCCCTAATCCTGGTTCTGGTTCTGCTGGAGGTTTCCTTCCTGTTAAACATGAGTTGTTTGTTTTCACTGACACGACGTGCTGCTCAGGATGGGAGATTGTGATTTGATGCAACCTGCTGGCTTCACTAACATCACTTWCTGTGTGTGGATGTCTTACAATCAGAATTAAATGAACTACAACTGGATTTGAATCGGAATTGGATCTTTAATTTGAACTTGTTTTATTGGTTTGTTTGTAAAGTACCCTGAGACTATTTTTGTAGTGAACTGATGATTTATGAAAGAGTGAACTGAATTACCAGTATCCACTGCAGTGCTGCAGCTGGAAACAGAGCTGTAGGCGAGCAGCCAGTGGCGCAGCATGGAGAAAGAATAAACGTTCATCCACTGGTCCTCGGTGAAGCCCTGCCCTACACAGAGCACCGTGAAGAAATCCCCCGACACCGACCCATCCAGCTCTGCTATCGGCAAAGGCTGAGAAAAAGAAAACAAATAAATTAAAGGTTGAGTATTTTTTCCTTTTAATTTTTTTTAGCATAAAACATTATTTTAACCTTTCTATGTTGCCTAAGGTCATTTTTACAGCTGAATAAAAATTCATTGGGCTCACCTGACGGGACCTGGGTCCCATGAAGAAGCCTCCTGAGGAAGATCCGCCTCCCTGCACAATGCTTGCGTAACGCAGCCAGTCAACAAGCTTTTTACTCAAGAGAGTCACATGATCTACAGAAACAGACAAAAGTCTTTATTTTCAGAGACAAACCTAKAATAACTAAATGGAGAGAACAGAAGAGTCATGTTTGTTTTTTGATCTGCTGTTAGTTTCTGTCTGTTACCCTTAGTGAGACACTCCGGGCTGAGTGTGAACAGGGTGTTGAGCACTGGCAGAGTGAACATGAGTGACTGAGGCGACCCTTCAGACGGCCGGCTCTCTAACGTATGAATAAGCTGCGTGCAGAGCTTCGACAGGTCATCTCTGGATCCAGACTTTCAGCATGAAAGCATAGAAGAGAAATAGATTACAAGAAAAAAATATTGTCAAAATGTTTTTCATTTATTTATCATCTCCCGGCATACCTGAGAAAGCAGCAGAGCAGCAACATGAGTGTTCAGCTGACTAATGTTTTCCTGGATGTAGTTCAGCTCTTGACCAGAGAGGGGCAGTGTTTCTCTGAGCACAGCAGAGCTCAGCACCTGGAGCTGCTCCGCAGGAGAGGAGAGGAGCGATACCAGCCTCTGCTGGAGCTCCGCAGGCAGCCTTTGGTTGGTAAAAACAGACATGAGAAAGAAGAAGTTGATGGAAAACAACTCATRGTGTAGGTTAAAGATTGGGAACTCAGATATTCTAAAAATGTAAGCTGAAAATATGCACTATTAGGGCAATAATGAGTAGACTTAATGTCTTGTTTGTAAAGTCACAATGTTAGACTTTATGTAATGTAGATGACAGAAAGTAAAAAGTTTATAAATAAACAAGAATAATTTCATAAGAAATACAATCTGAGTGCACAAAGTCAGAGAGGAGCAAACTTTATTGGCTTTGTTACTGTAAATATTTATAACCTGTAGAGTCTTGTTACAAACAGGCCCTCAAAATATTGGACAACAAGCCATTAAGACACCATCATTGTCAGATTGTGCAGAAATATAACTTGCTTTCTTACGAYAATTTCAGAGTTTTTTCAAATATGGAAACAGTATATAAAATTTTAAATGGTTTAGTACCAATCTGTTTGCAAAAATTTGTTTATTATTGTTCAGCTGTTTCTTTGCGCTTAACCAGAACATCCAGGCAGAGCTGTGAAGTTCCTGCTCGGCGCTCAGCCTTTGGACAAGCAGTTTTTTCGGTTAAAGCCATCGCTCAGTGGAACGCTGCTCCTGATCGTGTAAAAAAACCCGCAGTTCTTTTATTAGTTTTAAAAATAATCTTAAAAATATCTTAAATCTACCCAATGTTGCAATCATTGAATTGCACTGGGTAAATCGATTTTAGAGTTTGCTTTTGGTTGGGAGAGTTGCAGGGTTTTTGTTGAATGTTTAGTGATATAACTTTTAATTGTGATTGGGGAGTGGGGTGGGGTGTTTATGTATTTTTTATTGTTGATTGTAAAATGTTTTATTTTGTATTGTTTTTATATTTCTGTTATTTTCATTTCTTTTTTTTCTTTCTTTTGCTTCTGGTTGTGTGGGTTGGAG